TCATTATGAGACTAAATGACCTTGACCTGTAACACTCATCAATATGAGACTGGATGACCATGACCTGTTACAACCTTCAGTCGATGAAACTGGATGGTCTTGACCTGTAACAAACATCAGTAAAAGAAACTGGATGACCTTGATCTGTAACAACCATCAGTCTGAGACTTGATGACCTTGACCTGTAACAACCATCAGTCTGAGACTTGATGACCTGACCTGTAACAACTATCAGTCTTGAGACTAGATGACCTTGACCTGTAACAACCATGAGTCAATGAGACTAGATTACCTTGACCTGTATCAACCATCAGTCTGAGACTAGATGACCTTGATCTGTATCAACCATCAGTCTGAGACTTGATGACCTTGACTTGTTACAACCTTCAGTCTGAGACTAGATTACCTTGACCTGTAACAACCATGAGTCAATGAGACTAGATGACCTTGACCTGTATCAACCATCAGTCTGAGACTGGATGACCTTGATCTGTAACAACCATCAGTCTTAGTCTTGATGACCTTGACCTGTAACAATCATCAGGCAATGAGATTAGATGACCTTGACCTGTAACAGAACAACTTGAGAAGGTACAAGTATACCTCTTTCAAAGAAAGATAGAAAAGAGTGAAATTCAAATTGAAGGAATCTTTCTCAATCTCTAATGGAATGTCATTTTCTCTTCTTTCTAAACAACTTTCTTCTTCCTAATGTTTCCCTTGACAATGCCTCACTTTTGACCTTTAGTTGAGCGCTTGCCCCTGTGAGGAAGGCTTTGGGTTCTGTCCCCTGGCCAAAACATAACAAGAGTCTGTAAAAAGGGTAGTTTCTACTCCTGCTTAACGCTCAGCAATTAAGGAGTGGGACGACTGGTTCACCCGTTGTCAGTATAATGTGACCAGGTGGGGTGTCCTGCTGGATGTCTTCGGCAGTATGTTTCAGTGAGGTAGCATTATAAAGTTGGCATCTGTTCTGTGCTATTACAAGGAGACAAACACGAACATATCGCAGCCTCCCAAAAGCACTCGCATACACTACACGCATGCATGCACATAGGGGAGGCCGTACTTAAATGACCATAGCTGATCATCTCTGTACCCATCCATCCACATTCTCGCCTCGCCTGTTATTATGATGTATTCTAATGATCCTTTTAGATCTAGAATTGTTTCCTACGAGAGGTTTAGTAATTCCTATAAATATAACATCCTTGATTTTTGTTGGGCCAGTGACTACCTCACTTTTGACAACTTTTGGTCGCTCGAGCAAGACTTTAACCGGCATTGGCGAGCAGGCTACCATCCATTTCAAGCACTGCTGCACAACAAGGGAACAAGGGATCCTACATATAAAGTTTGAGAAAGATCCCTTTGGTACTTCCCGAGAAATAGTGATAACAAACTTTCACTATCAAAATCCAAGATGGCTGCCTGTCGGCCATGTTGTTTATCCAATCAGTCTCAAAAGTTGCACTGCACAGCTAAGGACCAAGGGGAACCTACATATAAAATTTGAGAAAGATCCCTTTGGTACTTCTTGAGAAATACCGATAACAAGAATTGTTTAAGGAGGGACGGACCACGGACGCAGGGTGCTAAAAGTAATACTGGTAATTAAAATAATTTGTTCATTGTTATTTATATCAGCGTGTTGGAAAAATTCCAGAACATGTGGTTTTTGCTGTCATAATTATCAGTAAATTCTACTTTCACTTTCAAATAATTCGAGCATATTCCTAAGAACTATCTTTATACTACATCCTAGCTAACGGTATCATAACGTTACAGTTAATAGGATGAAAGAAGTTTATAAATAGTCATGATTTACCTATTTTGCAACGAGAAGTTTCGTTATATTTTGTCCCATAAGCGTAAAAATATTTGCCGCACTATGTCAAATACGATCATGTATCATTTCCATTTTTAGATAGCAATTAACTGCACGTTTTTTTAAGACTAAAATGTATGACCAGCAAGCGAAGGTCGATCTATTGTTTTCTGCTGATGGAGGTGAAGCGAGGTCTGAAAAATTTACCTGGAGTGGACAGATGATCACCTCGGGCGATGTACAGTTAGCCGGACCTATTGTTTAATTGTCCATGTGTTTCACTAGGACAACTTACCTGAGTTTTTACCTTATAAAATCCCATTCACGGCAGAAAAAAAATATCATAATAAGCGGAGTCCCACCTTTGACCATATAAACGAATTTTTTTAAATCGGTACATGTGAAATGTATCATATTATCATATGCTTGAAAATTTCTCGCTATCACATTGGTCGGATTCTATACACGTGACCAGTCCTCAAATTTCTAAATATTTTAACCTATATGGAAATTCCACTGAACATGTTGTAGCGCATGCGCAGTTAGACCGGATTGTGAAATGTCAGACGAAAACAGAAAATGGCGGATGGCGAACTCTTCGCCTCCGTTACATCTGAAAATTTCTCAAAGATAAAGATGCTGGTAACATAAAAAGGACACCGAAAGCAGTGAGTGTCCTCCATGCTTACCTTAAAGAAAAAATCTTAACGATGTCTCCGAAAACCGAACTGTTGGATTCAACCCTGGCTAAATTTTGCACGGAGGCTCGTTCAAGTAAATGTTAACTATACAAAATCCGTTTGTTGGGGCAAATAATAAAACAGTTATGGGCTTTTGTGCTGGTAAATATGATGTGAAATGAACCTGAAAAAGTGATATTGACCTCGGCTACGTCTCGGTCAATATCACTTTTTCAAGTTCATATCGCATCATATTCACCAGCACAAAAGTCCATAATTGTATAATAACCGATATCATAATAGGTGGGTTCCACTGTATATAAACAAACAAACAAACAACAGGTATATATAAAATTATTGAATTTATTGTATTTACATTTTATATACATTAAAATATGCTGGCAAATTCATTAGGTAAAACTGTTTTTTATGCATATTGTTTGTACAAATTTCTTCAACAGTATCACAAAAATATATTTCACCAATTTGTGAATGATGCTTCATATACAACACAAGTATACAAAATGTCACAGACGTGATCAAGTCAACACTGTACACTTGTGTCTTTGGGTGATTTCTGTAGAAACAAGAATCCCAAGTAATGCATTTTCTAACACAATCTAATTAACACAAAATTCTCCAGGGTATTGGAGTGTCGGTATTTAATCCGAATGTTCTTAACACCACTGGAGAAATTAATGGCACAGTAGAAGTGCCTCTGTGTAATATACTAGTCAAAAATATTCAAAACAATACAACTTCAAACTTTGAATCAATATAAATTCAAACATCTATAAAAGTGCCACACAACTATTGAATTTTAAACAAATCAAATAGTCCTTATATTTTTAAAGGCTTTTACTAAAATTAATTCTTTCAATGAACAGTAACATATTTAACATAATTACATTAACAGTGTAAAATCTAAAACATCAATTTATTTGCAATGGCATTCAATAAAATCATAACAATGGGGTTGTTTTACAGTTCTTGTAGATCAGATTTTGCATCTAAAATATTATCTTTTTAAAACATTGAATTTGAAACTGGAATTATATTACATACCAGTACAAATAATAATTCTATTTTAACACCTACGTTTTGGAAAAATTGTTTAACCTATGGAGCGTTTATAAAATATTGATTTTGGTAGTAAAATTATAAAATTAATGGACAGATTTGAAAACAGACATTACATGGGTTAGTAAACTGAAACTTGGTGAAAAAATATTTAATGAAATACAAATCACTGGATCTGAATAGGACCCTACAGACACCAATCAACGTGTCATTACCAGACCACCAATGACATTGAAGAAGTCTCTGGATCTGACAAAATATCTTGCCAGCTTGTTAGATTTGAGAGAACTAATGTTGACAGGAGATCCGTGACAAATTATCAGATCTGCTAACAAGCAGATGACATACCAATTAACACGGGAAATATTATGAAAGACAGTGAAAGTTCTGTTAACAGACAACAGTGATCACAGAACGGAGAGGTATACCACACACAGCCCAGCACACTATACATAACACATGGATGGACTCTATACATTACAATCTCTATTAAATTTTCTATCATCTTGATACTATTCACCAAGTTCTCAGATAAGACCAACTACTAATATGAACTAATTTTCGTAACATACTTTCTAGGTAAAAACTACCCATTCAAAAGCAGACATATTATACATCTGGATCTTCTCCAGAAGTCGCCTGAAAGGCCAGGTAAAGTTACGGAAAGTTTCCAACACTTATCTATATCATTAGGATTTCTAAATTGACTCAAAGTTCAAGATGTTTGATACTAAATGGGGCCCCGATTCCTTGATATAAGATTTGTTAATGGGAGATTAGGCAAAAATCTTATGAAAGGACTATGGGATTTCAGGGTCATTTCTGGCCTCATCGGGGATTTAGAATTAGAATACCCGGGAAAATGAAGTACACAAATATGAAATTTCAAATTCATTCAACAACTAGTTAAGGAGATATGGCATTATAAAGAGAGACATAAACCTGCATTTAATAATGTCTGTTGTGCACTATTTGGTTGAAAATTGGCAATTTTGAAGAAAATTTACTAAACTCTCTTCAATTTTTAAAAGCCTACACATGCACCAAGGAAAAGAATATTTGACATAATTAAACATTGTCATACTCGTGTCCATTCGTAGAAAGGAAATTTTGTTTGTCACATGCAGAGGCTTTTATTTCTACAAGCTAACTGTCCAAAAACACCATATTTTGGCTATTTCTGCATAGCAATGCAACATTGTTGCTATGGTTATAATAGGACATCTATGGATGCACGTTGAAAAAAATCTGCACCAAGAAAGATAGCCCGAATAAACCAATATGAGGTTTATAACAGAAATTGGTAAATAAATTCATGTTGAAATTTTTTACATTTCATGAGGCGAAAATTGACCCATAACCCCCAAATCCCTCTCACATATATTTCATTCAATAAAATTCAAAATAAAAACAAGTGTTTAAACTTTAATTCAAACCTATATTTCACATGTTCATATAATGACACAGATTCACAGAAAGAAATATTCAACACTCACATGAGAATTGTCATTTGACACAGAACAGTGAAAGGGTTATCCCTGAGAATTTATGTCTGTAAAAAAAACTAAAAACTTGCCAATATCTACAAATTTTCGGCCACAGAATTTCTGTGAAAACCTGTAGAATCAGCAATGCATACATAAACACATCAACATACAGACATCAAAATTACAATTATTGGTAAGTAAAATGAACTCCCACCCAAGTACATCCAATAAGAGTGCAGGTTGAAAAGCAAGTGTCCTATCTATATCTTAAATTAAGTAGCACTTCTAAATACAATTGAATATCTATATTTCTAAATAAATAGTCTATAAAATTTAACAATATTCATATGTAGACAAAACTCAAATCCTAAACTGAGAAACGTCTGCATCAGGCTACTGTTTTCTTTTTCAACAATACTTGCAATATTTTGATACCAACTTTTTATAAAATAAAATTGCCAACATTTATAGAATGCACAGTAAAATCAATTTTAGTAAAGAAATAAATACTTTTAGAGCAATTTGGAGCCTTTACCGAGGATAATTTGAAAAATCTTTCCTCTGGGCATTATTTGAATAGAGTGATCTCCCTTTAGCTATCCTAAACTAATGTAGAATGTTCATATAAGGAGGAGTGGGGTCTGAGAGCCATAAATAATTGATAATATATGCGTGGTTGTGTCTGAAGTAATTGTCATATAAATTTATTTACAAAGACTCGAGCAAAAGCTAACTGTAGATTGTTCTATTTGATAAATGTCTCGAAAAGTCCCTTAATTCCCCATCCCCAATATCTTAATTCCCCATCCCCAATATCAAAATTTCTGCAATAGCCTAGACAAAACTGTCGATGATTTCAGAGAGGACAACACCTAAGTTTGGTTGATCCTAAGATATCCTTCTTGAATATTGAAGTACTGAATAGTGTAAAAAGTTTTGTCATAGAAATCTTTGGAGATATGAAGTGAAAGTTTTTCTAATTCTTACTTTTTCTTTCTGAAATCTGCACAAGACACTTCTGTTTGGGAAAAAAATGTAATTTAATTGGAGACACTGTGACAGTACTTAAGTTTGCATTGATAAACCATGGAAAACAGTTGATGTAACTAATAGCAAAGGAACTAATCAATCACACCACAAAGGATTTGCATAAATTTTTCAACAGTGAACAACAACGTATTTCATTAATAATCACTTGGTAATTTTAAAAGTACATTACTTTCATACTTTTAAAATTGCCAACACAATAGAAATTTTTAACAATCATCACAAGAGAAACAGAAAATAATTAATTCAATAGTATACATGGACAGAATCTCTGAAAATTATCATTAATAAAGCATTCTAACCAATAATAACCTCCCATGTCCAACTGGTCAATATCACAGTGATGTACATTGTCTACAGATCATCCTGTGTATAACAGAGCATAATGTTAACAGTTTCTTGCTTTGAGGGTATGTATGTCTTGTCCTCACATTAAAAAAATATTGAACAACCAATAAAATCTAATCGTATTTAATTAAAACTTCATTATTTTCTAAAATAAATTGTTACCTTTCAGAATTTAAAGGTAAAATATTTGTACTAGACTTTTCTTTATAACCTAGCTATGACACTGTATCAGCTACGACACTGTATCAGCTACGACACTGTATCAGCTATGACACTGTAACAACATCACACATGAACCGACACCACATGTTGAATGATGTCGTTAACACACACACGATACATTTAGGAATTGATCAACTAAGATTTACAGTCCTGCAGCTAAAGTTAAAGCAAAACAATGTGTTACATTTACAGACCAAACCTGGACCGAGAAACTTGCTATAAAATTCTTCACTTGGATACTCGGTGTGAAATTACCGGCCATAACATCCCCAATAAATATCGGCCATAACATCCCCAAATAGATTCAAATTGCTGACGAACCACCATGATCAAGCGAACATTTAATACTGGATTTTACCATTAAATCAACATAACATAAAAAAATCAAAATTAGCATGATCATTCGTAAATAAATTCACTTAAAAATTATTCAAATTAATATAAAAATATCCAAACTGTCTATTGATAAAAGTTCACAGTACAGGATATGTGCATTTATCATTATGTTATAATTATTGCATAGGAAAGAAGGCAATTTTATATTAAATTAAAATATCATTCAGTTATCATTCAGTTTAAAAATTCAAACTGGATTAATGACAGGTAGACATTTAATAATAAGGATGCGAGATTAAAATTTGAAAATCATTGCATGGTTTCTCAGTTGTTCATGAAAAAATTCTAAAAAAATGATTTATGGTCAAATTTAAAAATTTGGAAATGAGGATCACAGATTTTAATATATTCCACAATAGTTATAGTTCAAAATAATTTACATGGTGTATCAGATGTTGTTTTTTGCTTAAACTAATTCCACGAGTCAATAAAATATCCAAGACATTGTTGATAATATCCCAACAAACTGTATGAAGTTTCCGATACAGCATCCTCAAAAATCTTATATCTAAAAAAAACGGTTCAAGATTTAGGATACAGCATCCAGTCTCAAGGTTTTGGAATGGAGGATTTACATTTCAGTCTGGCTAAATTTTTGAGCTAGAGGAATTGCCGACCAGATTATTCTGAGCTGCACTTGATGAATAAATTAAATGTTAGCCTATGTACAGGGATGTCAATAGCACTGTTAGTGTCGACATAACCGCTTGACTGTTGCCATGTCAACTGGGGAATCAGCCTTTCGCTTGGTACCTGCTATACGTGTCAGTTTCACATACTTTTTGTTCTCTACCTGTCCTGCACTTCGCAGAATTTTGTTCACTCCTCCAGACTTCAACCTCAGGCCGCTGCGAAGCCTTGTGGCTGTCCGCAACACAGCACTGTTTGCAGCATGCGGCAAGTGGCGGGCCTGCGAGGAATTGTTGGTATTGGACTTGCCACTTGACCTGAGTGACTGGCCTTTGGCTGATTGGACTTGATTATGAGAATGACGTCTTAAATGTGCCTTGTTCAGATCAGAGCTTGTTTTCACCCTCAGATTGCCTGAGCCAGCATTAAAAATGCCCTTCATTGCACCACGAAGCCCTTCCTTTATACAGTCCCGTGCGGCTACAAGCCTGTTACTAGACTGTAGCTGACTGTCAATTAACACTGGCATGGACATGGCACGCTTGTCACGTACCAGTGCACCACTTGCTGATTTTTTGTCTCTAGCCATAACGTCGCATGTATTCTGCAATTTCTGTATTGACTGCATCACTGTTGCTGCATCAGGCGTTCTGGTGTGGGATGTACCTGAATTGCCAGATGAAGAGTGTCTCTGTCTTGTACGCGTACATGGTAAGAATTTCACAGGAAATGTCTTTTTAAGGACAAGAGATCTGTTTTCGGAACTCTGTGTGTTGGAGGTATTAACCACAGTAGTCTTTGTAGGCGATACATCCACCGTAGGCATGTTGTGCGAGATTGTCGACATGTTCATTCTGTCTTCAATTTCCTGGTCAATGGGTCCCACAGGACTGGGATCAAAGGTGGCCCTGTGGTTGACACTTCCAGCCTGGACACTGTCGTCCAGACTGGGGGAGGCACCTCCTGAAAGACTCAGGTCATCAGACAACAATGACTTGACTGCCATACCTACTCCCTCAGCCATGTCCTTCCACGATCTTTCCCCAGACTCCTGACACTTGTCTCCCTTTACAGGAGCTTTTTGACTTGAAGGAAGTGGGATAGAACAGGGAGCCTCCTCTCTCTCCCCGGACTTCCTGGGCGATGTGCGCATACCTGTCTTATTACCTTCAATCAGTTTTCTCCCTAGTTCTGTGTTCACAACATTCATTTCTCGAAGTTTCTTGAAGTGTTCCTCACGTTTTCTTTTTAGTATGGACAGTTTGCGTGGACCCAGGGAGTCGATGAGTACCACTACACAGCTGGTATTATCGGCCTTCATCGACCGCGCACGCCACTTACTGAGGGCTCGGTTCACCAGTTTTTCTGCAGGATTGATCCAGTAGGAAACTGATGCTTGCTGAAATGGTAAAGTAATTCATAATGATTTCGAGACTGTAATGAAACAACAAGTTTTTCCTAAACAACTTTGAAACAGTTTATATTCTATATGAAATGTTGAATTATATCAAACCACTTCATGCAGAGTGAAAACTGCCAAGAGAATATGACTTCAAACATGCAAGGAAGGGAAGTGCTGCTCAAGGGGCTATAAAAAGGGAGTAAAATCCACAAGTTTTACTCCAAAGAATTGTAGTCCCAAACTTTAGCAAGTGTGTATGAAATATTTTTCCCACATATTTTTCAAACAAACTAGAACACTGACAGGTCAGTAAGGGCCCCGTCTTGTTGCAATATATCCCCCATAATCATCAAGAAGCTATCTGCCCATATAGCTGAGCTTGACGTTTGATATTTGGACTTCAAAAAGAATCACAAGGAAGCTAAATATACATTTTACATGTACTATGATGTGAGTCTTGTTTCCTTCCACCTCCATATTTGCTGGGCTAACAGAAATGTAAATACCGGTGCAATACTCATTTGTTAGCTTTGATTTGTTTTATTTCACCTTATATACCTCCTCCATCAAGAGCCAGGGTCAAAGTCAGAGATCCACTTTGTCTTTGACCTTTGGACCCAAATGACCTTGACCATTAATCCAGTGACCCTGATCTTTGGTCAGTTGACTTATTCTTGAATTCCGAATAATTTTGCTTCTTAATATCATAACAAAATGTTCATCAGTGAAAATACAAAACTTGAACTTGACCCTTTGAACCCGTACCTGGACTTAAAGTCAGTTGACTCTGTGTTAAGTTCTGAACAACATTGCTTCATAATGTCATAACAAAATGTTCATCAGTGAAAATACAAAACTTGAACTTGATCCTTTGAACCCGTACCTGGACTTAAAGTCAGTTGACTCTGTGTTAAGTTCTGAACAACATTGCTTCATAATGTCATAACAAAATGTTCATCAGTGAAAATACAAAACTTGAACTTGACCCTTTGAACCCGGACCTGGACTTAAAGTCAGTTGACTCTGTGTTAAGTTCTGAACAACATTGATTCATAATGTCATAACAAAATGTTCATCAAGGAAAAGGTACAAAATGCAACCTTCACCTTTGACCCAGTGACCTTGACCTTTGGTCAATTGACTCCTTGTTTAATTCTGAGCTACATTGCTTCAAAGTGTCATAGCGAAATGTTCACCAGTGAAAAGCTACAAAATTTGACCTTAACCCCTGACCTGATGACCTTGAACTTTGGTCAGTTGACTCCTTGTTTAATTCTGATCAACTTTGCTTCATAATGTCATAACAAAATGTTCATCAGTGAAAAGATGTAAAATTTGACCTTGACCTTTGAACCTAATGACCTTGACCTTTGACCTTGACTTTTAACCTCAATGTGTATTTTTGTAAACTGAACATCTTGACCAAGTTTCATGTACATAGGTCAATAAATACCAGTTATCAGCCAGGAACAAAATTCGTGGACGGACAGACAGACAGTGATTACTATAGGGCACCGGTATCTCCGATACAGGGCCCTAATTAAGTACAAGTGTAATTACTGATTGAAGTCCCAATATACAGCAATCAGCCAAAAGGTAATGTCATCTGAAGTACAGCATTACACCATTGTCTTGGAATGCAATCAGTCTTACAGGTAAAAATCATGCATCATTCAGGGGTGTGCATTTCTATATATAGCCCGACAACCTGGACTATTCAATTTCAGATCAGACTAATGAAAACTTTCAAAATTTACTATGAAACTATCCTATAGGTAAGGCTTTTGAATTTTTAAAAAATCTGCCTCCAGACTTGAACTCTTAATATGAAATTGTACACCCCTGATAATGTATTAAGTGTGTAACGGCTAAAACATGTCATATTTGCACGGGGAAGGAACTGCCTAAATTCATGTGGGATTGCAGTGGATATGTGGCATCAGTTAAAAATAAGTTTATAGACAGGAACTGTGTCTGTTATATACCATATGGGCTATGTCCCTGCAACCTTCCATACCTCTCCCACCTACATATGTACATAGGATAGACTCGTTTATTGTTATTTTAGTAAATCATGAGATAAAATCTAGGAAAGTCAAAGGCTGTTTACAAGTGCTATTGAACATAGTCATTGAGCTACCTTGACAACAATAAGTTTTTCATTGATAAAGACAGTACTCTTTCATCAAGTCTAGACACTGATGCTCTAGTGGGGTGCACCTGTACAACAAAGTTATCAGTGACAACAAGTATTTTGACCTGTTTAATATCAATATATGAATATTTGGGCAACAATACTATTATAGAAATGTTCCAAGGCGCCTGATGGCTCAGTACTGACTCAGCACCTCGGAGAATTACTTTGTTAGCACGGCTCCCTCAGGAGAGTTGTTTGTAAATGACCACATAAGTTCCTTACTGCAGTACAACTTACAGGATCATGGATGACTTTGTACTCAAACTGGTACTCTAGGTCCACCACCACGGAAATGGCTTCCTCCGCAGAGATCATGTTCCACAGGCCGTCCGAGCCAATCACAAGGCACTTGTCACGTGTGGGGTCGAGGGGGTGTACCGAAACATCTGGCTCGGGCGAGACAACAAACTCCTCATTTAGGTAGTTGTAGCTCCATAGATCTCCTGTAACAACATACAGGAACAGTGCATTCAAACAACTAGGACTTTCTAAACACAGATCATGAGAATATTGCTATTAGTATGACATGTTATAGGTTGTTCCTCGATGGACGCTTTTATAAATTATAAACAGGTACCGATTTCCTGCTTTGTTGGAAATGGAGCTAAATACAAAACCTAACCAACATGAATGAAGCAGAAAATTTTGGTCACAAGTGACCTACATATACATTAGATATATATATATATAGGATCTTACATGAGTTTCCATTTCATATGAGATTTATGAAACGTGTCTAAGAATTTTTCAATTTAGCGAGCCTCTGGTGAGCTAAAATGAAAAACTCTTAGACACGTTTCATAAATTTCGTTTAAAATGAAAACGAGCGTAAGATCCTTTTATCAAATAATCAAGATGTACTGGTCCTAGGCGTGACGTCACAATTGAAACAATTGAAACTTACAACCAATCACAGGGCTGATAGGTCCTATTACATGGGTTACAATCACAAAAATGTATGACATGGGTATATTCACTGGATAACACAGTACATTATGTGATGATTATATATATTGGACATTATCAGTGACGTACTCCTCAACATGTATGCACATATTCAGTTTGAGGACTATGTTAAATTCGAGCATCATAACAATGGAAACACAAATTATAACCAAGACGTCAGGGACGAACCTATGAAAAAGGCGAACTGAAAGCTACCTTCACTAATAGGCACTATGTTGCAAGACATATATACTAATTTTACTGATTTCAGATAAGAACTCCTTTTTCAAACTGTAAACTGTAACACGTAGACAATTTTGCAAATAATGTAGGCCACATATCAAGCTATTCAATACAGTGTGTATATATACAATCTATAGAAGGCAAAACATCCCGAGTTGAAATATCCAATTTCATCACATCATTGCACAGGGAAACTTGACAGACCTAGAGAGACCAGTCGGTCTTGAAACATAACGGCGTTGTCACATGTTTAATACATACACTGTTTGTGTATAAAGTAAAACTTTGACATTACATATTTCCAAACCATTACATATTTCCTAACTGATCAGGAATCTTATTGAAGACATCTGAGCATTCTTATGTCTCTTGTGAGTTCATACCTAGACTTCGAGCAACAGCCAGGAACGGTATTCTGTCGATTGGTGTGCTGCGCCTAATTGGTCCTTTGTGGTTGACCTTTGGCCTATTCCAGACGACTCGCTGGACTCCAGACTTGGCCACCACTTGACCACCACATTCCTCGATCCTCTTCTTCTCGGCTGGACTGTCTGGCTTATGGTCCTGGCAAATATAATCAGCATGAAGAACTGTATCAAATTTATGTATATATACAAGTTCTGGAAAAATCCTCCCAATACTAAAATATTTACACCATTATTATACTTAGAATTAACTGAAACTGAAAATGTTATACAATTCTACAGTACAAAAACCAAAAGGGAAATTTAATTCAGACCTGGGGAAAATATTATTCACCTCCAAAAGCTGTTCAGCTTGTTTTTGCATTGTGATATCATATAAAATGGCATCACACGTACGCATGTACCTATGTAAACAGCACTAGTGTCACAATATGAAGATCAGACACTCAAAATATTTTGAATCTTAAATTTCTTCAAAGTTAGTAAAATTGCCTCAATTTGGGAAGATTTCTAGCTTAAAATTTGAATAAAAAAAATATTCAGTGCCCCATTTATAACACCAGTGTCATTTCTTACAATGGTCAGCATAGTTCCCCTCGGTCTGATGAACTTCTCACACTTGCTGTCGTCGAAGCCAAGCGCAATGCCAGAGTCTCCCACATGGCCGATGTACAGCTTGGAGTTCTTAATGATACCTATGGTACATGTTGTACCTGCTGTACTGGGCAGACCACTCATCGTCTTTGGCCATTTATCTGAAGATAAATTAAAGCGAGGAAAACATAAGGTATACATGTATGTATAAAACTATTTGATATATATTGGTAATGGTAGTGATAACTTGATTATATAACTTATATATATTAAAGTTATCACTAATAAGCTTATAATAAGCTTGCATGATCAGTGAATTGTCCTACACAACGGTGACATGATGTACACGTGCAAGTTAAGCTCTGACATGATGGAACAAAGTCTCTTTGGCCAAAGATCGAAACCTGTGGGTTTCTAATTTGTGAAGTTGGTCAAAACCTAGCTATCACATTAGAATTTGCAAAATTTTATCCAAGTCGCCCTTTTGGGAATTGGGAGAATTCAAAATTAATACACAGAAAATGGTTATTTTACATTTAGGCTAATTTAGCATAAATCAAAAATGATAAAAAAAAAAAATATTTTACAATACATTATTTCATATTTGAATGATGCTAGTTCTTGTACTGTCATCTGATGAATACAAGCTGTGAAATGGTGTTTTTTTTACTTTTTAATTGACAAATTTTGAAGAGAACTCCAATTTTAATAGTCATTTGGATTAAAATTTGCCTCCATGACCAAAAAGCCAAGAATACTTTTCTTCTCTATACAATATAAGTGTATGCAAATTCACAATAAAAGTATTTTGAACAATGGAAATAAACTGCCAGGTATTGTTTACCTTATAAGACTTGTTTTACATCATAGTAAAATTAGTTTTTAGCCAACATAATTATACATCAGAAAATGAAAAATTGGCATGGGGGGAAAAAGTCAGGAATATCATGTGATGTGTCATCATATTACAGCACTTTTCATAATTCAGGGTCTAAAATGACATTTCAATAACTATTTGTCCCCACACCTGACTAAGCAGATAAGGATCACTTTGTACACCTATAGATAGCTCTGATGCAATATATGTCCTGATCAGAGCTATAGCAGTTCTAACTATATATAGCTAGATAGTGCACATGTGGGGATGATCACTGTCAAGCCATTTATATATATATATACTGTATGTCCTGATCAGTTAGACAGCAGTTCTAACTACGGTATATATATAGCTAGCTAGTGTACATGTGGGGATGATCACTGTCAAGACATTTATATATATATATACTGTATGTCCTGATCAGTTAGACAGCAGTTCTAACTACGGTATATATATAGCTAGCTAGTGTACATGCGGGGATGATCACTGTCAAGACATTTATATTATACTGTATGTCCTGATTAGTGAGACAGCAGTTCTAACTACGGTATATATATAGCTAGCTAGTGTACATGCGGGGATGATCACTGTCAAGACATTTATATTATACTGTATGTCCTGATTAGTGAGACAGCAGTTCTAACTACGGTATATATATAGCTAGCTAGTGTACATGCGGGGATGATCACTGTCAAGACATTTATATTATACTGTATGTCCTGATTAGTGAGACAGCAGTTCTAACTACGGTATATATATAGCTAGCTAGTGTACATGTGGGGATGATCACTGTCAAGACATTTATATATATACTGTATGTCCTGATCAGTGAGTCAGCAGTTCTAACTATCACTGTAAAGATAATATATGCTGATCCTATGCATTGTAACATATTTTTCCAATGTCATGCCTAGGCTAGAAATACTTGTATTTCTGGTAACATTTTTATAATCTAAAACTTGTAAATTTAAAACTGCAAAAAGATAGTGAGTCTGAGAACAGAAATATTTGCCTACCTATATATATATAGCTATTGCTACGTATACTTGTAACCATTAATTCAGGCCTTTTCTTTTCACTGTTGAAGTATTACTAAACTGTGTAAATGCTTTATATGTATGAATATGCAAAGAAAAAATGTAAGTGTACTGTTATATATACAAATCTAACAGGGACAAGGGACAAAGTTTGTCACCAAAATCATACCAACTAATAAACAGTAACTTTTTAAGATAATTAAACAACAAAACTATGTATTTGTGGTAGTACATGTATCAAACCTTCAGTCTGACATCACAATATACATGTACTACCACAAATACATAGTTAAACCACAAATGTGATTGCAAGCTAAACTTCGACAAAATTTTAGGGTCATGGCTATAAATATTAAATAGCCCAGAGAACTAATTAACTGCTCCACTGCTATTGAAAGTTCTTCAAGCTGTATCATATATATCCTCAATAAATTGCATTTAAACTTGAAGCACTGATATGCAGATCAGTGATCTTAACTTTGGTATCTATTGTAAAATTATAATTTACTCAAAAAATATTTACTCAACAAATAATTTACTCAAAAAATATCTTCTAATAGGATGGGAGTACATCTATTTTGATGCAATACATTTTCAATTCAAAAGGCAATTGACCCTATTCTCAAACTAGTGAAATAAAGCACTATCTACATGTATCACAAAAAAAATGGCTCTTTATTACTAAGCCGTCATCAGTGTACAGTGGTCAGTTGCGTGTTTATATAGTGTTACAAGTACATGTACAATGTACATGTACAGTCCTGTGTTTATAGTGTAGGGGTATTTCTGCCCAAGGCTAAGCGTGCTATTTATAGAGACTTGTAACACTTCTGTCTTCTCCTGTTCTAGATCACATGCCTCACTGGATAACATGTCCAGACTTGTTCTGAAGCAGTCACTACACAGATCTGACGAGGACAAATATACCTATAAACTAGCAATATATTAACATGTACACAATCTACCAAAATAGCTTATTGCTGATACATAAATTCATGGCTACACTTGATGACCCCTGTAATAATACCTGAGAGTGATACACTTGGTCAATAAATTAAATAATACACATGTTTATATGTATTATAGAGCTTTACAAAAATAACACTATGTACAATTTTTATAGAGACGATCAAAGGAAACAACAATTTCTCTACCATTTCCACAGAAAGATACTTTTTCTTAGTGGGAAATTTAAATATAGTCATCCATGGCCTTTAAACAGACCCTTGATTGATTGATAGGTTTTACTTCCGCTTCACTCTGAGTAATCTGAAAAAAATACCCAAAAAATACAGACCCTTACAGAGCCTCCATCAAAATATTGTTTTCTTTATTATTTACTTTTGACTATATCTAGCTGAAAAATATTACTTTGAGAATATTTTTAACTTGTTTCATTAATTGCAGATGTACATACATACACAGAATTGATAATTTCCATGTGTTCTGCTGTAGTGGTTTCCATTTTTATCAATCTACAGTATACTACATGTATTAAATTTGTATCCCAATTGACAATGTTATTATTGCAAAACTTAATATCACAATCAGTGACATTCTCTTCTGACAACCTGCAATATTTGTACATCATCTGAACCGAGTATGAATATGAAATGATTTTTTCTTAAATTCAACTGTAAAATATATTTCTTTCAGTTTACTGAGTGTAACGTTGTGTTTTGTTGCAAAATGCAATCAACACATTCATTAATTCATCAACATTAAACAATATAACATTTTTTGTATCATTAACCTTTCACAGGTCCAGTACACTCTGCCGGTTGAACTATATAGCTATAAAGACCAAGCTATATACACCTATAAATTATAGTTGTATTGAGCTATATTTTCTCAGATTTCAAATTTCATTAAATTAAAGCAAAGTCGCATAAAACAATAAGGTTTATGGTAATGTTGACTACAAAAAGCATACAGTTAGATGTTTATTTTCATTCTCATAAATGTAAAATTTACGATTTTTTTACATCATTATTTTTTAAAAAGAATACTTATATTTAATGTCTTTTGTTATCAACCTAATGATACAATCTTCTTTTAAAAGCGACTTTGTTTCGTTTTCCTTAAGGTAATAGGATTGTGTCGCCATTTCTCAGTAGAATTTCTTCACATTTTCTAGTTATATTGCTTTGACGTAAAGAAAATTTTCTGCCACCAAAAAAATATAGGTTGTCAGAATTTTAAGGATTTTAAATGGAAGTTTATGTAAAAAAGAGTGAATTTTGAAAACAAAATGAAACACAATTTTTTACAAAATAATGTCAATAAAAATGATACTGACATAGATTAGTACTGGATTAATTTATATCAATTTCATAAATGCTGAAAATGTGTCAAATTAATTATCTTTTTATGATAAAACCATATACACATAGTAATTGCATGTAAGAGTTATCGTTCTTGAAAAACTTCACAGTAGTGAAATAGGTAGCCGGTTTCCTGAAGTACAGAAAAATGGACACATGTGACTCATTGATTAAAAAACAACTGAATTAATGCCTGGATTGCTTTGAAATACTTTAATATTGAAAGAACACACTGTTCTGTCAATAAACAACATACAATATTCATCAGTTTAATATTAAACATTAGAATATGCGGAAATTGTGATACTGTCTCCTTACAATGGGTTTTCAACTAGGGATGTACTTCCTATTTCCGATGAGCAATACACTCCTATGACCTTAAAAAAGAAAATCACTTGAAAATAGCTCAAAAGACCTATTTCAGATAGGTCAATAGAGCTATTATAGGTCTTTACAGCTATATAGCTCAATCGGCAGAGTGTACTGGACCTGTTTCATATGAACAAATGAATTCTAGCTGTTTCAGTGTCCGATTGTTACAGTAAAGGATGTGACGGTACAAAATAATGTTCTTAAAAAGGTCACTATAAAATGAAAGTGACCATTAACTGTGACTAACTTGGAGTTTGATTATGTCCCCTTGAACACTGACTCCACACTTGTTTAAGTGTCGACCGATATATTGTACTGAAGGCCTACAGTTTTCCAGTTCCAATTACATGACCATTAGCAAGCGAAGTCGAGGCCGATCGAACTTTTATTGAATAAAAGTAGTATTAAAACTGAATTCGGTAAATTTAATTATATAACGTGTCAACCGTTACAGAACATGTAAGCAGAAACACCCCACATGTGCCTCAATCTTCGTGGAGCTTGAAAAACGCGCGCGATTAGATTCGAAAGTCCATGCCATTTTCTACCGTTTATCTGTTCAAATCACAACAATTTTGGCTTATAATCATTCACGGTAACATTTCTATATTAAAAGCATGATGACTTGCTTAAAATAGCCACGATTAGCAAAAAAACAGAGACATCCCGAGAAAAAATGCACCCTGTAAACACATAGACATCGTATACGTAGATTTGATATACATGTACGCAGGTCACCGTTTCAACAGAACAAACACCTCCAAACAACTTACCAACAACTCTCCACATCCCATGATGGGCATCAATAAATCCTGTTTTAATTGCCTCCAGTATATCATCGTCATTATCGCTCCAAAAACTTTCATACTTCGTAATTTCATCAAGGAGATTATCACGAGCAAACATTGACGCTTCGGAGCCGCCATGACCATCAAAAATTCCAAAATAAGCGAATTCAAACCCTCCTTCGTCATTTTTCACAAATCTTATGGCATGGTTATCTTCCATATATTTCCTTCCTCCTTGGTTGCTGTTTTCTGTAACCCTCAAGTTCACACCAATTTTGTAATTCGACATTTTGAATAGAGAGGGTTTGTCCCAGTGACGACTTCATGGAGAGGATATTACAATGATCCGTTTGTACACAGAATTTGATTGGCTAATCTACCACAACGACCTAGGTCAATCTATATATAGACCACAAATATTCCGCGAAAGTTATTTTACGAAATTGGCTATTGCGTGTTTATATGGAAGGAAATCTGTGACCACATTGTTGACGAGATAATTTGGTTTCCTATCATAAATTTCATACATGGGTTTATTACACATAGTTCATATAAAGCAAACAAATTAGGCGATACGAACTTGTCATTCAAAAATTTAGTCTGATGCAAAATTAAGTTGTTAGGCATTTTAGGGGAGACGGGCGGCCACGGCCTAATAGTAATATTTTTGGATTTGAGCATTTACAATTTTGGAGCTCCAATTTTGAGGATCTTTTCACACCAAAAAAATGGCGAGGAAAGGTCAATTAAAAAAAATCTAAAAGAGAGAAAGTTATAAAGTTTTTTTGGAAGAATAGAAAGGAAATCGTGACATAAGGAGGGGGTGGGGGGATGGCCGCTTTTTCAGATTGTTATAACCAGATGATACTGGGCTTTTCTTTTCACAAGTGGACACAACATAAGAAAAAAAATCGCATCGCTCCAAGGATTAAGTAATTATATAAGCATTTCACAAACAAACATTTTCCGCCTCGGCTAAACTTTGAATCCTGGTTTCATATAGGGTCAATTAATAAAATTAGTATATGATTGGCTTATATCAAAAGGTAACAGAAAAAAATCTGAAATAAGTTTAAACGCACTTTAAAACTTAGAGCAAATCTAAAATTTTATTTTTATTTTCCAGAATTTTGGTAACAGTATATTACACTATCAACAGACTTTAAGGTGTATTCTAATCAGTACGTTCACTCGTCTACATTTATTTACCTAATTGAAATTGATATTGTATTCCATGAAGATCAACTACAAAAACACATATAACATGATAATAAAGCAAAACAAAAACGTCCTTCTGTAGTGAACGTTTTAACATTGCGTGTAATTTTATATACTGTTGAAGATCGAGCAGAAGAAAAAGACTGAAGGAGATAAAGAATTAAGGAAAGACAATAAAGACTATAGATAGGAAGGAAGGAAACGATGTCGTTAGGTTGGTTTACTATCTATTAGTTCAACTTTATAGAATCATGTAGGTGAAATGACTAATATTTACAATTATTACTAGGGATTACAAAAATAACTATTTCATTTTATTAGTTACTCCCCATTTTTCCATTCATTATTAAAATATTCAGATAAGTATCACCTTTGCCTGTAGCAATATATTTTCAATGTTACATATTTCCTTAATTATTATTTTAGAGTTGGAATAGCGCGGTTTCATTTTCAGTTTGGCACTTAAAACCATAAGGATAATCAACAAGGCCTACTTTTAATAGATATGAATTGGTGAGATATGGTTATTAATTCTAAACTGAAGCCATTGCAAATTCGTATTTCGGGTATTTTTAAAGGGAATGTTGTAGATTTGTCTCCTTATTTCTTCATCAAATAATAAAAAAAAAATCATCGAATTTGTTTCGCGTTATGACGCATTTACTTACAGGTTATTACGTGTTTATTTCACGTTATTACGACTTTTACTTTCGCGTTATTACGTGTAAAACGGGTTTTTTCGCGTTATTACGACTGTCCAGGTTTTTTTCGCGTTATTACGACTGTCCAGGTTTTTTCGGCTGATTCCCTGAACACATACATTTTTAATTTACCTGTAGGGCAACTTGTTCTGATAGGGATTATAGTCTTTTTCTTAAAAAGTGTATGAGTTTCAACAAGTGAATCTACCTGTAAATCTCACTTGTTGGAACTCCAGCACATATGCTTATATAAATATTCATATATATATATTTTTTACCTCTTTAATTTTCTAAAGTTCCATATTTTTGATAATACATGTATTAACAAGCTGTTCCATGTAGTATTTGATATAATAATGATTGAACTGATCTTTCTAAAGAAACCATCTGATATTCGTATGACCAAAGCCACGCCCCCTGTTAATGTAAATGTTACTGTTGCCAGTAGAGATAATAAACCCTGGTGTAATGATCATGTACAAAAAATGCGTAAGCAGTAAGTTTGGATGTATTGCATAGTTTTAATAGTAACAAATGTCATACTACTCATGCTGTTCTTATTAGTAAGAAACAGGATTATAAAAACATGGAAGCTAAGTCTAAAAGGCAATACTTAAGTGCTGAAGGCACAATCCTAGGTATTTTTACAGAAAGTTTTCTAAGAAAAAAAGGTAATTCGCCATTATTGACAGGCGAGCAACTAGATGATCATTTTAAAATGTGTCAAATGTACAAAATGATGATGACGCAGTTCAACAGGACAGCATTTTCATTGATAAAGATAGTATGTATGATGAACTAGATGCACCGATTATTTTTCATAAAGTAAGATCTGCTATTCGAAATTTGAAATGTGGCAAAGTGCATGGACTGGATGGTTTATTAAATGAATGCTTTATTAACTGTGAAGAATTACTCCTTCCCAATTTGTGTATGTTGTTTAACAATATTTTAGAAGCAAGGTGTTTTCCTGCAAATTGATCATCTGCTATTATTATTCCTGTTCATAAAAAGTTACACGTAATGACCCTAATAACTTTCAGATTTTCAGATTTTATTTCCAATACTCAGACACATGAAAATGTGTAACATGAGGTACATGTACATGAATTCATATATTAAATTATGACTGAACTGATCTTTCAATAATAGATAAATAGATAAATAATATAGCACAATCAGTTAAAATTTAACAACACCCTAATTAGTATATATATCTTAGTTATTTGCTGAGAAACCAAATCTGTAAGTATTTATTAGTACCTTACATGTGTATAAGTGATCAAATAACATTTTAAATAATCAATGTGGTTTAAAAAAAATAGTATTAAAGTTTATTTGAATAAACTGGAAAATGAAATAAAAAAGGAATTTTCAAACGAAGAAAAAATATTTTTAGGTGTTTGAAAACTGTAAATAGAATCATTTGAATAAATCACATAAAAATAAACGTTTCCTTATCGCAAGGAACGTTCTTTTGTTTCTTTCCACATGATAGCGTTATTGGAGTTGAAGAGAAATCTAGTTAAAGAAATTTTCCTAAATATTGTAATGCTTTACTATATATAAGATCCTTTAAAGTTAAGGAATTTCCCTAATTAAGGAATGTTCATAAAAAAAAGTGAAAACGTCATAGTTTGCAGATTATAGTTAAATATGTATGTATATACATATGACAAGCCAAGTCGTTAGGCCAAAAAATGTAACATCCGAGCTACTCAAAATCGAACACTAGTGACAGACTTTGGGCCTTAAAGCAAACATTCTATCTTCAGTTTCCTTTTTCCTTTTCCTTGCGGCATTTTATAAATTGCTTTTTAGGTTTTTAATTTTCAAAAGAATAATTGTTTATTTGTGCTTAACAAGATCTAAAAATTTCAGCCTTCGTCATATATGTACATTCCCTTATGACATATTTTTTTCTTAGGATTTTACATGAATATACAGAGTTAAATTCAAAATCAGATAATAAAGGAATGGTTAGGGACTATATATTTATCACAGATACAGGAAAATTTCACTGTTATTTCAAACATTTTCTTTATTCTTATATTTTTTTTTTTCAAAATATAAGGAGACACTTTTAAGTGTTTTGTAGATGTTACAATTTTANTTCTTTATTCTTATTTTTTTTTTTTTTCAAAATATAAGGAGACACTTTTAAGTGTTTTGTAGATGTTACAATTTTATGATTTGACAAAAAATATTGAGGCAAATTTAACATTATCTAAGAAAGCATTATTCTCACTTTTATTCAATTTGCACCAGTATAAGGCAGATGACATCATTGTACCTGGTGTAAACAACATCTTTTATAATTCAGAGTGCTCTATATAAGTAAATCGGAGTCTAGTTTCCCCCCTTTTCATATGTGAGCTCCTTTATGCAACTAACAACTTTGTAATGTAATGATTAAGTTTCATTATTTAATATCTTTTAAATATATTTGAATACATCACAGTATTAAGAAGTATTATTTCCCCAAAACAAATACATAATATAAATGAAAAGTGAAATTATGTAGTTTTCTTTCACCCTGATGATGATGATGATGATATGATGATGATGATGATGATGAACTTGGAACTTGCAAGTTATATAAAAATCATAACTTTTTACCTGTAAAAGCACAGGTAGATCTACAGGTAAAATGGTGTTCTCCTTTCTCCCACTTTTTAAAAAAAACATAGAGGCAGTAATGTTGTGATAGCAGTTATAGTCTGTTTTATATATATTTTACCTGGTTTTTACCTGTGTTCTCCCACATTACCTGTAACATATATACAGTAATGTCATATACATGTAGCTTTGATATAGTCTATTTTCATTAATTTTTAGCCATTTTTTTCATATCATATATACAATTTTCATCAGCTAGATCTATACAAAATACATAATGATTTGATTAATTTAAATTTAAATTTAAATTGATTTAATTTAGGGTGAAGCAAATTCATATTGGAGCATTATTTTCAGAGCATCTTTTTTACCAATCTTCAGTGTAATTATTAATAACTTAGTATCACTCATTAGATTATTTCCGATTATGTTTCTATTTGATAACCCCATATGGCTTGGGTCCACTGATACTTCTAGTTGATAGAAATGAATCTATATACTGACCGTTTGCAGAGCGATTAATCACTATTAATAGAAATTCATTCTCTGTCCGGTAATAAAAAAAGTGAATACAGAGGTGAGCGTGTATATTGGAGATGTACCATCCCCAATCGTCCAGCTACCCTTAGTACCCGAAACAACATCCCTACTGGAAAAGGCCGCCATCCTCACAACCACCCACAGGACCATGCTAAGATCGTCGCCCCGGAGATTATGGAGACCATTCGTACCCGCTGCGTGAAGGAAGTGATTGCATTTTTATGAATATGATTGATTTGATCAACCAGTGATAAGTATTCCATGTGTAC